AAAGCAAGCGTCCCCTTGACAGAGAGGCAGGGGTTCTCAATCCTGGTAGATTAGAACCTCAGAGAAGCAGCACACCTCTTCATTGGGATCTTCTGTACATTGAAGATCTCCCCTGTCCTCACTGACCCCTCACAGACCAGAATTCACCAAAGAAGAAAACAAATCAGGCCCAGAGAGTGCTGAGTAACAGCATCAGCTTTGGAATGGGAATGATACTATTTTTGTTTCCATTCTATCTTTATAGTTTGAACTTTCCTTTTGATATTCTGTAAATATTCATCATCTCAGAGCCTTTTGAATTGTAATGGCTTTTAGTCAAAACTGAGCAAAATGTGCCATTTGAATAATAAAAACCTCATTAAAGTGAGGCAAAAGAAATTCTTTTCCTTTTGTACAAGCCAATTAAGTGTCTTTACAATTAAAAAAAGTCTAGCACTTTATAGTTTCATATTCAATAAGCCTGTTTTTAATTAATGAAGGTGACAAGTTTTAGGTACAGGGTACATATTTTGCCTCTGGTGTTGTGCAATTAACATTAATGAAGGGTATTAAAATTTGGTGAAAGAGAAGAGGATTTCCCATGTCCTCTGTGGATTCATGCCTCCAGGCTGAGGTCTTTGGTAGCAAGTTTCTTGATGTGTTTTGCATTTCCTTGAGAAAATGTACAGGCAAGAATAAAGGTAGCTAGAGGAGGCCATGTTGTTATCAGTAGGTGTGGTGTCAAAATTCTGAATACCCAGGCATGTCCTAACTACATGGAAACACTGCAGAAATCAACTTCGAAGAATTTTATTTTCTCCTGTGGATAGAAGGGAAGGGTATAGAGACAAGGAAGAAACAATGATTTAACCTGGCATGTATCTTGCAAAATACTTGGATTTTATTCATCACAACTTTGAGAGAGGTGTATGCTTCAGTTGTAAGTTTGTAGGGAGAAAAAACAGGATTATAGATGTTAACCAACTGGCACAAGTCAGTAAGTATCATAACATGACTGAACTAGAATTTCTCTTAACACCTGATTCTATCCATTTAAGAGAGCTTATCTAAGAAAGAAGGTATTGTGCAGTAGCTTTAAAGTCACCTAATCTTTTCGTCATATTTTATTTTGTTTTGTTCTTACTCACTTATTTACTTTTTTTGTTATTTCTGATTCTTATTTGGACCATAGGATGTTTGTTTCTAATTTCTCATTTTCCTGTTTGTAAGATGTTGATAATAATACATATCACCTAAGGTTCTTAGGTATTCAAAGCTATTAATAAGTGCCTAACTCCCATTTAGCACTCAAAGGAACAAAGAAGAAAATAAAGAAAATAAATAAAGGAAGTAAGGGGGGGAGGGAGGGAGGAAGGGAGGGAGGAGGGAAGGAAAAACTCTGAAAAAGGGAACCAAATATTTGAGATGAAACTGAAAGGTGCTCACATATATTCACTTGACCCATTTTCCCCTTTTTCTCTCAAAGTTTTTTTCCAGCAAAATATGGGTCATTTTTGTTAGAAATGAGTAGATTCTGTTTTGGCTTGAAAAAGGCTCTGATAAATGTTGTAGGTAGACCAGATGCCTCAAAGCATTTTTTTGTCCACCTCTTCAGAGAGTAACTGGACTGTTGTAGTGCTGTGTGTTGACAACTCTGGGCACCATAAGTGGAAAAAAAGCGATCTCAGTCAAACACAGCTGACCCAGCCACATTACCACTTTTAGATCTTAGATAGTTGATGAATTGCAGCTATCTCAGAAAATAGAATAAATAAGACAGTTTCTCAGTGAGACTTAGATTGCCTAGTGGCAATGAGATTTACATAAATACTTTTTAAAACAGTGAATTAATTCTTCTTTTCTCTAGTGATAAATTAATTCATGCTTTCTACCAGCATTTTTAATCAATTCTTAATGAAATTAGTATCATTGAGATCATTAATAATATCATTAATATTATGAATAATTAGTGAACTAATATCAATTCTTTGCAAACTCTAGGGAAAAAAAATGGAATAAGAAGGAAAACCTCTCTGGATGCCTGGGTGGCTCAGTGATTGAGCATCTGCCTTCAGCCCAGGGCCTGATCCTGGAGACTTGGGATTGAGTTCCATGTTGGGCTTCCTGCATGGAGCCTGCTTCTCCCTCTGCCTGTGTCTCTGCCTCTCTCTCTCTCTTTATGTCTTTCATGAATAAATAAATAAAATCTGTAAAAAAAAAAAAAAAGGAAGGAAAACCTCTAAACTCACTGTATAAGGCCAATATTACTCTGATTTTAAAACCAGATAAAGATATCACAAGATTATAGGCTAGTATCACTTATGAATATAGATGTATAAATCTTCAACAACATATTGGCAAACCAAATGAGCACTATATAAAAAGGATTAGGCACCATGACAAGGTGTGATTTATTTAAGAAGGTTGGTGTAATCTACCATATCAGTAAAATAACGGATAGGTCATTGGTCACAGAAAGAACATTTGAAAAATTCCAACACCCATTTGTAATAAAAACACTCAACAAACTTGGATTAGAAGGGCATTTCCTCCACCTGATAAAGACATCCCATGTTCATGGATCTAGAGACTTAATATTGTTAATGAGACACTATTCTCAAAATTGATCTGCAATTTTTTTTTTATGATAGTCACAGAGAGAGAGAGAGAGAGAGAGAGGCAGAGACACAGGCAGAGGGAGAAGCAGGCTCCATGCACCAGGAGCCCCATGTGGGATTCGATCCTGGGTCTCCAGGATTGCGCCCTGGGCCAAAGGCAGGCGCCAAACCGCTGCACCACCCAGGGATCCCTGATCTGCAATTTTTTTTTTTTTTTATTTATGATAGTCACAGAGAGAGAGAGAGAGAGAGAGAGAGAGAGAGGCAGAGACACAGGCAGAGGGAGAAGCAGGCTCCATGCACCGGAAGCCCGATGTGGGATTCGATCCCGGGTCTCCAGGATCACGCCCCGGGCCAAAGGCAGGCGCCAAACCACTGCGCCACCCAGGGATCCCCCTGATCTGCAATTTTTAATAAAGATTTTATTTATTCAATTGAGAGAGAGAGAGAGAGAGAGAGAGAGAGAGAGAGCAAGCTGGGGGAGGGGCAGGAGGAGAGGGAGTAGCAGACTACCTGCTGAGCAGGGTGCCTGACCCTGGGCTCCGTCCCAGGACCCTGGGATCATGACCTGAGCCGAAGACAGATGCTTAACTGCCTGGGCACCCAGGTGCTCCTGATCTGCAGTTTTAATATAAACTGCATCAAAATTGCTATTGGCTTTTTTTTTTTTTTGCAGAAATTGAAAGCTGACTCTAAACTTTATGTGTGCATGCAAGACTCTTGACTAGCCAACCCAAGCTTGAGAAAGAACAGTGTTGTTCTTTCAATGTCACTTCCAATTTAAAAGTTTTCTGCAAAGATTTAGTAGTAAAGACTATAGTATTACTATAATAATGGAATAGAGTTGATCCCAAAATAAACTCTTAAATTTGGTCCGTTGATTTTCGTCAAAGGTGCTAGGACTAGTTAATGGGTGGAATCATAGCCTTTCTAACAAATAAAAGTGCAACAATTGGAATACCTGTATGTCAAAGAATGAAGTTAGATCTCTTGCATTCACCTTGCTTCTGTTTTAGCTTATAATGGATCATAGATCTAAATGTAGGAGCTAAAACAAACTCTCAGAGGAAAAAATAGAAGTGTATCTTAGTGCTGTAGGGTTAGGCAATGGTTTCTTAGATATGACTCTCAAAGCACAAGTGACAAAAGAAAAAAATACATACAACTTGCATTTCATTAAAATCAAAACTCACAAAGAAGATAATTAAAAGGGTTCCACCCACCCCTATAACAACTAGAATTTACATTTAAAAAATATTTTATTTATTTATTCATGAGAGACAGAGAGAGAGAGAGAGAGAGAGAGAGAGAGAGAGAGAAGCAGAGACACAGGTAGAGGGGGAAGCAGGTTTCATGCATGGAGCTTGACGTGGGACTCGATCCTGGGTCTCCAGGATCAGGCCCTGGGCTGAAGGCAGTGCTAAAGCGCGGAGCCACCTGGGTTGCCCTAGAATTTACATTTTTGAGTACACTTCATTAATATTTTGTGTGCATTTGTATGCTCATACAAGATTATATATTTTGTTCTATAACATGCATGTTTTACAGTCAAAAGATGTATCATTTTAATGGCTGCATAGTATTCTATCATATGCATATATTCAGATTCATTTAATGATTTCCCCAGTTTTATATTTTATTTATTTTGTAATGTTTTGGTTTTATATCATAATTACAAACACTGTGGATAGCCTTGAATTTTTGCCTTTTTACAATTCTTATTAGTACCTTAGGATGATTTCCCACAAGTGCCATTTGTTTATGAGGATTTAGGATTTTGATTCACATGAAAGATTTATTTTTTAAGATTTTATTATGACACATATTAAATACATACAAAAGAGAAGAAAATATTATAATAAATCTCCACTTACCCATCCCTGGGCTTGCTTGTTTCTAAAGCGTAGTTGTAATTTGACCTCTGGAGGGAATATATTCAAACAATGTGTACCTGTCTCTTTAAACAGAGTATTTCCTCCTTGATATGTTTACTTTGAACTTGATTCCTGTATTTGTCTTTATACAGCCTATTTTCTCTTTTTTTTTCTTAATCTAGTTTAAGGGATATTTTGATTTTATAGGTGATGAAGCTAAGAGTTGGATAAACTGAGATGCACAGATAAAATTAGATTTTAGAATCTGGGTTCCATCCAGGGTGACCAATTTTCCCGGGACGGTCCTGATTTTAGCACTGGAAGTCCTGTATCCTAGGGACCTCCTGGTGCCTGCTGCCCACTCACAGTCTAAGCCATTCCCCAGCAGAATGGCTTTGTGGTGTCACATCCCATTTCCAACTGATGAATCTTGAAGACAGTGAAGAGTTGGTTGTTTCTGTCAGAGCCTGGGTTATCCTTGGTTTCAGAGTGTTTGTGTCTGCACAGCATTGGATGTTTTGTTTTTCAGATCTCTTCATGTGCTTGTGTGCAATGCAGCGGCTTTTGCCCTACCCTGGAGCCTCACAAAAGATGGCCTGGAGACCACCTTCCAGGTGAATCACCTGGGGCACTTCTACCTTGTCCAGCTCCTTCAGGATGTCTTGTGCCGCTCAGCTCCTGCCCGAGTAGTTGTGGTCTCCTCCGAGTCCCATAGGTAGGTGAGAATCTGATGTTTCACATGCCCCCTTTCTTGTCCCATCCGACCTCTCTCCAAGGCTCCTGGTCCTGAAAATGCTTTTTCAGTAATGCTTCTCTGGAAAGTGTGGGTGTATATTCAACCTGGCTTCTTGAATTGTTCCGAGGTCTCTCTCTTTTTTGAGATTGTGGAGGATTATTTGGGGTTTTTTGTCTACAACAGTGCAGATGGTTTCTACAACTATACTTCAAGCCCCTCATTGATTTTGCTTCGAGATGGAATAATAATTGATTAAATCTGAATGCCTGACCTTTATCGATTTGTCATTCAACAACTTCAACACCTCACCAAGAAGAATGTGCAGTTATTCTAGCAGGAGAAACAATGCAATTAAAGACTGCGAGATGAAATCCAATTGTTTTATAATGAGAAATTAGGGAATTCAATGCAGACATTAGCTGTGTAATTGTAGAAAGGGAAGTACTGTAGTTAGAACATATTAGAAATCTGGCCATGCCTCTTTTGGTTAAAATTTCAATTAAAACATCAGATGGCACTTCTCTTCTATTACCATTAGGAGAATATCCAATTGACTAAAAAGGCATTTGAAAATTTCATCGTATTTTCAGCATATTTGTTTCTGGAGCTGGATAAACAACTATTTGTCTAAAGAGAAGTAGTCAGAGAAGACAAAGGGCTTCCCTGGTGAGGCTAGATTTAATGCATGTTAGGGAGATTTTCCTGGTGTGGTTGGGAGCTTTCACTCTCAGCAAAGTAGCTGGAAAAAAAATAATGTGCAAGGACCTATTTTTTCCCTTCTTCTCCGTCTTAAGTCCTGGAATGTTTTAGTGACCCAGAATGAAGCTTATTTTTTTAATCATGCTTCCATAAAATGTAACCCCTGGGACTTGGAAGAGAGAGACCAGCCAAGGGTTAGCCTGAACCCTTTATCACTCCCAAACACAGGGGCTTATGGTATAAGTGACACATTGCAGATAGATTTACTTTTACCATTTTAAATTTATGATGGCTGAAATGAAAGGGAAATGCCCGTAATAATCCTCCCCCGTGTTAAAAGACACGAAACATCTAGTAATTAGGTGGTAACAAAATCTGGACATCCTTATCTTTGCAAATCACACCAGGTTTGTGAGGGAAAAAAAAAATAAGTGGAATGGCCCTGCTCAGGAGTGAGGGAGGCCACTGTGGGGGCCGGCGCGGGAGAGCGAGCTCCGGAAATAAATCTGCCAGCCCCGATCGTTTGCCAGATGTGGAGGGCACCACGGGATATGTTTAAATGAGTTGGTATTTAATGGGAGATTATGTTGAATTGTCAGCTGCTTGCTTCCCTTTGTAAATCTGTATCTCAAATGGTATTTCATGTGACGTCTTTGTTCTCTTCTTAACTGCCGCATAATTCGAGCCTACCTTGGAGATCTGAATCTTAATTTCATGTAACAGATGAATTGGAAGGAAGAGCCCTGATCTCCTGAATTAGATCCATTTTAGTTTATAGACCAGGACTTCCTGAAATGGTTATCAGGCCCACTCCGGTCTGGTGATTGGCACTGGTTTTTTCTGCTTTCCGGTCAGCCTTTGCACGTGTGAAGGGGTATTTTTACCAAATGCTAATTCCCCCACACTGGTGTGTTTTTTACACTTGTGTTACCCTCCTGTGGTGCCCAAGAGACAGTGTGAATACTGGGTGCATAGTCCTGGGAAAGCACTTACTCGCTGCTCAAGGACCCAGAGCCCTAAACCATGTTGTAAAATGGAAGTGTTGATATCTAATTACCTCCATAAACCTTGGCGGAGTCTCTTCGTTGGAGTCAAGACCCCCTGTTAGGGGAAAAATAAAGTCCTATGTTTGCAGAAAATATTATACCAGACTGCCCCCGGGCAAAATATTTATTAGCCTCCCTGTGTCTTCACTGTATTTTACTTACTTATCTGGAGTCTGAGCAAGTGAATGGACTTTCTACATACCCAAAATACATCATATTAAAATGAGAACTCGCCTTCCTTGCTGTGAAAAATTTTCAGATAACAATTAAAATAGAATGAAAAGAGCGAGCAGAGGGCTGGCTGAACAACTCTGAATGGCTGCAGCTGTGTTGAGTGCCAAGTTGCTACACACAAACACACACACACACGCACACACTTAACTTTTGATGCAAATTCAGTCTTATTCTTTGAACATACCAGCTTTTGTCTACATAGAATCCAGACTAATTATTTTTGTTTGGTAATTTAAAAATCCTCAGTTAAAAAAAAAATAAAGGAGCAGTATATATAGAAATACAAGATAGAGGTTCCCACAAACAGCAAATGTTAATGTCCAGAGAGCAAATGTTAACATTTTACTGTATGGGTAGGAGGATAATTCTATTAAGACATTATTGTGTGGTTTTGTCAATTTTTCAACTTGAAAACAGAGTCGGCAGCCTTTGAAGAGTTGTTTTACTGCCTCTTGAGCTGAGAGGTGAATATGGTCGTTTTTCAGGAAGCCTGTCCTGGTTCTGAGGGATCAGAAAGCTTGCCCACCCTTCCCGCTTCCTGGAGGACTGTCAATACAAGCTAATCAGGCCTTCAAAATGAGCCTGCTGTTCAGGAGATCAGCAGGGCAGGAAATCAGGGGTTCACTTACGGAGGGGGGCTGCTTGCCAAGAGTGGGCCTGCCATTTAGTAGCTGTGCTTCTCTGTCCTAAGAACTTCCTTCAACTTGGTTTCATCTGGTCATCATAGTGTGTGTGTGTGTGTGTGTCTATGTTTTATCTCGTTTCTAGATGAAGGACTAGGAATGATTTCCTTTCCCCCTCTTACCCTCTCTAGTGTTCTGCAGTCATGAGATACTTCTGTGTTGTCCTTAAAAACCAAAACAGGGAATTCATTCTAAACTTTAGAAGTGCCATGTGCAAATATTGATAAAGAACATAGAGGACCTGAAGCTAATGCTAGGTTTTCCCATTGGAACAAGGAAACTTGGCCCTTAGTTTGGAATTCTCAACCCATGATCAAACTTTAATTCTCTAATCCTATATTTAGTCCCCACTATGTGTCAGGCATTGTGGTAGGCAATATGCAAGAGGCTTACTGTCTACCTTCAAAGAATTCACAGTCCAGAGTTGCAAGCAGGTAAATAAATGGCTTGCAGTCTGGCATGGTAAGGACAGAGGCACGGTGTGCAGGTCAAATGCAAAGATGGTATGACTTGCTTTGTTACTGATGTTGAAGGGGGGTGGTGCGAGGTTATTGAACACTAGGAATATCATGCATGGCCTGGGTCCTGGTGAGTGGGAGCCTACTTTCCATGGAAACATGTTTCAGTCTACTTTGCATGGCTCCTTTCAGTCTGTCCCCCATTGCCACCTAAGAAATCATTGTGACAACAAGCAGTTGGGGGAGTTTCCTGGAAGAAATGGCACTCAAATTGGGTTGGGCTAAACAGATATGCCAAAATGGTTTCCAACAACATTGATGGAAGAAGAGTGAAGAATGAGAGAAGGATGTTATTTTTATGCCACACTATTTAGATGCTGTCTAGATCCTTGATCCTTCTTTCTACTCATAGTAGGTAGAATTTCCAAGACATGGCCCATACCTTGGATCATTAGGTTCTCAACAGTCTCTTTTTGTAGTATCTTGTTACTACGTTGAAATAAAGTTCAAAAACGATATAACTTCACTGCATAAGTGTATTTTAATTCAATATGCTAGCTTAACTGTAATGGGAAGAAAAAATAAATGTGAGACAAAATAGCATGTTTTCTTCCTCGAGCAGGACTACAGGAAAGGTAAGTAATCAGATGTGCATGCCTATGGATAAATCACCTCCATTGGGATACTCACGAATGCAGACTGTTAATAGGTGTGTGGCAGTGCAGACTCAAATACTACCAGCATGGAATCAAGCCTCACCTCCCCCAAAACCCCACGAAATCTGAACATGCATTCATTCTTCATTTGCATGGTTGTTATACTACACTCTTGGAAATGCAGTGGTTGTTAAAACTGTGTATATATGTAAAACACAGCCAGGCTCTAGGCTCAGATAATTACAGACAGGCTTTTCATCTGTGTGAATGTCCAGTGGACCAGTCTTCACTGAGCAATACTCTGTCTGCATTGTAGGACATCTACCATCCCCAGCCCCTGCCGGCAATCATTATAACAACCAGAAAAAGGCCCCCATAAATTTTCAAATTTCCCGCTAAGTTCTACTGCTTTAGATGATTAAGCTCAGAAGTCTGGGCCCTTCCTGTGGTTTGGGGACTTGGAGACAGGCAGCCAACAATTAGTTTCAAGGTCTTGGTGCTGTATCCATGATAACATTTCTGGCCATCGGCTTTGTTGATGACTTTAGAGCAGCAATGTCATTTAACACCAGAAATTGGATGTCACTGACTGAGTCTTGCAGAAGGGATATTTAATTTCCATTAAAACGTGAATTTCATCTATCCCTCTGATGCTTTTCCTTGGTCATAGCTCAACCTGAGCTGCTTATATTAAGGAACAACCAGAGTATTCCACAATTTTCATTTTGCCTTTTGCTTCTATTTCCATAGCAGTTACCCAGAGTACTCTCCTTATGTTTCCTTATTACTTGGTGCAAATGCCCAGACTTAATTTAGTGAAGGAAGTGTTTAGGGGTCCTTAACCATCATCATCTAGAAAATCCCTTTTGTCACCATCCTTCTTTTTTCTTTTAGGGCAGTCATTACTTTGTTACCTAAGAAAGGAAGAAAGAAAAAAAAGAAAAAGAAAAAATGGAAAGAACCAAACAGCTGGTGTTTAATGACTCCGTCAGACCCAATTATAAAACATCAACTACTTAGTTTGATTTGTGTGTATCCATGCCATGGGTATACTTAAAAACAGTAGACTCTGCCAGAACTCATTTTGGCTTTGTTTACATTTATCTTTTAAACGTATAAGACTATTGATGGCACCTCACCAAGGTTATAACCCCTTTATAATCATTAATTTTTAATCTGGAAAAGAGTCTTGGGGGCAGCAAGTCTCATCTATATTTACTTGGATGCTAAAATGAAAATATACAGGACTCATGCGTTGGCTAAAACAACCCAGGAAAACCCCGTCAAAGGTTAGGAATGTGATATCTTTCTGCTTCCAAAAGCAGCAGCCCTTTATTTAAGATGCTTTTCCATTTAATTTAATTATCCTTGAACTTCCTGTTGAAGGTTTTAAAAAAATCAGTGTTAGAGGCAGGAGGGAGTTCAGGCGTGTTAAGATTGCCCCATTTCTGAGTTTGGGCCTTTATTTACTCTGTCTTTGGACTCAGTTGGTTTATAGTGTTAAATCACTATTGTCAGTTTCTAGGGGAGACTGTTCCTATGTTTGCACAATTGTGTTCTCAGTTGTCTCTGTGTGGTTTCCTCAGATTTCTAATAAAAAAAAAAGATGCTATTATCAGAAGTCAGAGATTGGCTGCTTCACATCCTATGTCTTTTTTTTTTTTTAAGATTCACAGATATTAATGATTCCTCGGGAAAACTGGACTTCAGCCGCCTTTCTCCATCTAAAAGTGACTATTGGGCCATGCTGGCTTACAACCGGTCCAAACTCTGCAATATTCTCTTCTCCAACGAGCTCCACCGCCGCCTGTCACCTCGTGGGGTCACATCGAATGCCGTGCATCCTGGAAACATGATGTACTCCTCCATTCATCGCAACTGGTGGGTGTACACGCTGCTGTTTACCTTGGCCCGGCCATTCACCAAATCCATGGTAAGTAAATGGATTCTGTTGCCGCAGACACCTTCAGTGTGCCATTATGGACATGTGCATTTTCTTCAGCTTCTTGTCTCTTGTAGTGATGGATCTGGTCTTGACGGTCACATCCTCAGACCTGTCAAAGCCATCAGAAAGGGCTCTCAGATGCACCTTGATTGACTTAGAATGCATTTGTTTCTCTGAAGGCGTCTTGGGGGGCTGGATAGTAGATGTGCTTTGAAGTATTGCATTAAGAATAGCTGGAAGTTTTGATGGAAATGGTTTGCTATCTTTTGATGCAATTGTTTTATTAGTCTTATGCAGAAAGCATGGTATTTGATAATGGTGTTTCAGGTCAGCAGGTGAAAAACATGGATTTGTGACCACTGAATTATCAGAAGAAGTGATTCCTTTGTTTCCACTGAGAATCTTATAGTTGATGTTCTAACCTCACCTGGAGAATATTTTGTTGGTTGGAAGTGCATTTTCTCCTTTACCTCCCCAAAGGTGAATCATTTTGGATGAATCACACTTCTGTGGTTAGATTTGGAAATGTTCACAAAGGCAAATATGAAGTTTTTACATTTTTAATGGTTGTATAATAGCCATATCTAGAAACTTCTTCCATGAAACATTTTAATAGAAAGTCTTTTAAGTGAACAATGCATATTTTACACGATATATTCGGTATGGTATTTTTCGAAACCAGAGGGCTCTAAAAACACTCTGAAATAGTGCATTCTAGTACAATTCCAGTTAACTAACTTAATATCTAATCTTCAGAAAGGCCCAAACACATTTTGGCCCCTACAAGTATCATAAGGTGAACTCATTATCCTGGGGGAATGATCCTATGCCTCTGATTACAGTTTGTCTCCTCTAGTGGTTGTTCCCACGTACCGTGGTAAGGCACTTAACCAGTCCTAGCCTGATTCCTCACAACTAACATGGTGGTATGGGTTGATGTGGGGATTGACCATAACGGATATGACATTTATAATAATGAGTATAGAATTTCTGTTGAGACTTTAATCTGACTTACCAGCAGGGATCCACCTACCATATATGACTATGGAGCCCTTGAAAAGTGGCTAATACACTAGGAAACTGAATTTTAAATTTGATTTTACTTTAATTAATTTAGATTTATAATTCATTTAGACTTTAAATAGTTGCATGTACCTAATGGTTGCCAGATTGGAAGGCACAGTTAAATAATGTGCTGAGCATGGTGTCTGTGTAGGAGATGTGTAGTATTCCTATTATGGTGGTTGTTATTCTTGTCGTTATATTACCTTTGGAGAGGATTATTCTCCCAAATGTCATTTTTTTTTTTGTGTGTGGCATATAAGGGTCACAACTAAAGGAGTCTGTAAACTGGGAGTCTGGCGGTGGTATTTGGATGAACCTCTGTCTCTGTCCCCAGAGGCCCAAAGAGAAGGTTATTGACAAAGTAGGAAGGGTATCCAGATGAAGAGAGCCTGGTCTTCAGCCTGTACTTCTGGTCCTCCAGGAAGCCATAGTAGAATGAACTTTCCATGTCCTTGTCCCCAGGTAACTAAAAGACAGCATCTTTTATCAGCCACACATGTACTTTTTTAGATAAGCAAATAGATTATGAAGACTGTGAAATATGTATGTAGGTTTAGACTTGTAGGAAATTTCTAATAATATCTTCATATATTTAGGTATTTGGTGGTATTCCTAGCCATCAGCGTTCTATGATTTGGTTTATAAAACGGTGGAATGGGACCAACTTGTCAAGCTCATAGACAGTCATTTCTAGTTCATAAACATTTTGGACTCTGCATATGTGGGAGAGGCATGAGCATGACCTGGAACCTGTGATGAGTCTGTGTCACTGGTGGGTCAGACTGGGCTTACTGGGAAAGTCAATCTGGTGTTTTATCCTTCTGTACGTGGCTTGACATTGCTTCCATCGTGATAAGATACTTGTCTCATGGACACAGATGCACTTCTACTTTTTTTTTTTTTAATAATGTATTTACTTGACAGAGATAGAATACAAGCAGGGGGAACCCCAGGCAGAGGGAGAGGGAGAAGCAGACTCCCTGCTGATCAGGGATCCTGATGTGGGCCTTGATCCCAGGACCCCAGGATCATAACCAGAGCAAAGGCAGATGCTTAACCGACTGAGCCACCCAGTGCCCTGCACTTCTGCCTTTTTAACACAAATTTATTTTTGGACATAAGCCATATAGTTGCATTCCATTCTCACCCCATGTGAAAGCTGGCTTCCTAAATGCTCATGAAGAAGCTTAGCATGTATACAGTGTCCTCATGACCAGTGGCTGTCTGTGCATCATGGCTCCATCCGTGTTTTACTCCAGAAGTGTCTCCCTTGACATGAATGTTGTGGAGTACACATCCCATTGCACAAGGTCAAGGAATAAAGCAGCACAGCCCAGCCTTGAGCTTGGAGGCTCTGCTTTTGCTTCTCCACCAGAGCTGACTCCCTGAAGTATTAAACAACAGTATTCTAATATCAATGTCCCTGTTTTATTTGCTGTGACTTGCTGTGACTACGGTGATTTTAGTTACAGTAATTAGGTCACCCTTCATGGAGTCAGGCTATTTTAAGTGCCTCTTTAAGGAATATTGTTGCAGATCAGTAATTTTACAATTGGATGTTCTTGTGCAACTTTATTAAATGTAATCTGTCTTTTAAATGTTGCCCTTTTACAGTTATACATTTCTAATTGTTGCTGTAAATGCATTATCACTTTGAAATTAATTAATTTTTCCATTTTGGCCGCCTGCAGTATAATAATCACTAATGAGAAATTCACAGGGATTAATCTCAGCACAGCGATCCCTACTGGTAAATCTGTATCTTTGGCACCTCGTCCCCTTGAGGTCTGGAGGTCAGGACAGGTGGATGAGGAGTCTGCGGGGGAAGCGTTTGTCTCCCTTCCCTCTGATTTATGCAAAAATAAAACAATACATACAAATGGGAATAGGATTTCTTAAAAGTAAGCTTTACCCTCAATGTTGCGCTTGAACTCACAATCCTGAGATCACGAGTTGCATGCTCTACCTACGAAACCAGCCAGCCCGACACCCCAAGAATAAGGCTGTCCTTAAATACTGTTTAAAAAATACGCAGAATTCTTTAGCTGCTTTTGAAATATCTTAAGGGAAACTAAAGTTTGGTGGGAGCTTTCTGTTAGTGAAGTCACATCTACCATGTCTTTCTACTTTCTTTTATGCTATTAAAATACTCAAAAAATTACATTTTGCCTATGTATATTTGAATATACATCATAAATATATATATAAAGTATTCATACATAGATATTTCTCCAAGTAACTTAATTCACAAAACCAGATCTGGTGACAGTCGAGATTTTCAAGGGTAATTTTGGGTACTGGTGATTGTTGCTATGTGTGGGGCCTTTAGATTCCTGCCATACCCCCAGGCATGGTGCGACTTGGTGCATGAGGCTAGACATCGTGATGCTTTATGCCTCGGCGTAGATGCCTTCTTTATTCCTCACAGCAGTTCTGCTGTGTTAGTTCAAATATTAGAACTATTGCCCTCCTTTTGTGCTTAAAAAGCACAGAGATCTTACCCAGTTTGCCCAGGAGAATGTCATACCTGCCTGCAGACCCTTCAGCATCTCCTCCCAAGTGCACTTGCTGTGTCAGAGGCACCACAGTGGCCCCCACCGTGTATATCTCTCCTGGTGCCGTTAGGTTTCCTTTTTCAGATGTTTGAAAGTACCTTCATGAACTTAACCCTCGGCCTCCTCCACCCCCCCTCCCGCCCCCCCAAACTTTCAGTTCTGGTAAACAACATCTGAACTAGCATTCCTAGGTCCAAGCCAGCCCTTTGCGGATCGGTATGTAAATTTGAAGCCGAACACTGTCACGTGGCCTCTTAGGGTGTTTTGTGCGACCAAATATTTATGTTGGCAGGTAACAGTAGAAAGAATATCATGTGTTAGGGTAGCAAGAGCTTAGCAGATGTTTTAGGGAACTGCGTTTTCAAATCATTTTACATTAAAAAACGGCTTGAGTTTGTAGAACTTCTGGAATGATTGAATTATGTTTCCTGCAGCCGTGTAAAGCCAGTCGTTGTGCTGAGTTTTAACAGATGTGCAGCTACTCTGCTAATGGATGGACCTGCAACGCCGGTTCTGTTGCAAAGTTATAAATTATAACTAGAAAAAAAGCATAAGATGTCATTCTTCTAACCTTCGCGAAAGCCAAGCTGAGTAATTCTGCCCTTGAATAACCCGCTGCAGGGTGATTTATAGTTGTATAATTTAAAACATAATGAAGGAGATAATAGATGTTGATTTGTTCTTTAAATTAGTGTTTTAGAAAAATACTTCTCCCCACCGCCACCTTTAAATACCTGCAGCTGACTACACTCTAGATACTATCAAGGACAAAAACCCCCGTTCGAGTCTTTACTGGAGCAGAACGCAGGGGCCTTTTTCCTTTTTCTGTGTTGGGAGGAGGAGACACAGTTTTCAGTGTTTAAATTTCAGCATATTCTTCACTAATCTAAATATTTTGGGACTCCCGAGTGAGGGTTGAATTCTCTGGCTGCCCTGCTCTTGCCAGTCCAGATATGTGAGAAGACGAGACTTCTAAGACCCCACTGTGGTTGGGTTGCACTTGACCTTTCCTGCAGAACCCCACAGGAGTACCTGGTGGCCATGCTTTTCCTGCCTAGGTCACATCCCTGCTACCTTACACGTTCTTCTTACTTTCCAGGATTATCTTTGGCATTGGTTTTATTAGTCACCTCTGATTCTGTCCAGAGCTTTAAAATTAACAGTGTTTGCTCAATTCAGAGTCCAAGGGATATGGCGAACTGAAAAAGAGCAAAGGATCTAGGATCATTAGGCCTGTATTCAAAACTCAACATTTCTACCTTTTTTAGTTATAGAATTTTGAAATGCTTCCTTCTCTGTGAGGCTCATTATTCTATGTCCGTTTTTGTGTTTTGGGCTGTGAGTTATTAACATACAGTTAAAAGTGTT